TAATTATTTTTTTTTTTTTATGTTTAAATTGAATTTTGGGCTTCTTTTTTTTTTTTTTTTTTTTTCTTTTACATAAATTCCCAACTCTAGTTAGTACTTTGCGTTGTTATTTTGCAATACCCAAAATATTAATGCAGCCAATAAGAACAAAGGCATATTTGGGCTATTTTTCATAGAAAACAAAAAGAAAGAAAGGAGGAGTAAATTTCTACCAAAAAACTCCTACGTTTTGAGATTTATCTCAGAAATTTACAGACATTTCTGAGCTCCAAAAATTTCAAATTTACAAGAATAAAACAGAATTTTTTAGCTTAATTTCAGAAAATTAAGCTAAAATTTTATTTAAACATTTGTAGCTCAGAACATTTCTTTACATATTTTGTATTTCTTGTCTGATGCTGTTTGGGGAAACATTTGGGAGTTGCTGTTTAAGATAATCAAAATTACTTTAAATGAAGAAAAACACGTTTTGGTCGAGCTGAAATACATTCACTGACAGGAAGAGGTAACTAAACAAAAAAAAATGACCAAATTTGGACATTAAGAAACAACCCGCTCTGCAGGAAATCTTCAATCTCAGCTCTAGAAACTAAGATGGAGACCAGCAGCCAACTAAGCTGTGTGTAGTTAGTTTCACTTTTCATGTGTTTAATTTAAGACAGAAACCATAAAAAAGATGTTCAACACCAACAGGAAGCTGGACAGGAAGGACAGGAAGTGCTAAAACCCTTATTTTCCATGTCACATCCTGCTCCTCTGGAAGTCATCAACTATTTTTTATGATCCATAGATTTAATTTCTTTAACAGCTGAACATTTCCTTTATTTAATATTTTCATTTTCAGATAAACCGCTATGGTTACACAGTTCTCTTCTTTCTCACACTTTTATTTTTGATCTACATATATGTAGGTCTACACTGCTCAATTTAACAAATGAGATAAATGATTTTTCCAGATCTAATGTGACATCTATCCTATAAAATTCTACAGAAAAACAAACAAATCAGTTATAAAATGTGAAAAAGCTGCAATAATCTGTTTAAAGTTTTAAGCTAATATTGTTTTTTTCCACCTTTTTGAATAAATTTCAGATTTCTCCACAGAAGATTGGAGCAAATTCTGGAAATGTCCAAATTGGTAGTTTCTCCAATTTCTTGATGTAAAGCTGAAATAGGAACTGGGCGTGGAGGAATCTCTGGATGATACCGACAGAAACATTTAAAAAAAAAATTGGTTATTACCTACATTTTAGAACCACAAGACAGAACCAGAAAACGTCCAGAGTAAAATCTCCCAGAAGATTCTGATGAAACCAAACTCAAACTTTGAACCACAACTGTAAAACAAAACATCACCAAGCAGATTTAAACGTGTCAGAAAATCAGAGGCGTCACCTGAAGAATCAGAAATTTTGGGTCATTTAGTGAGACTAACTGTAGATTTGGGATGCTGACACAATAACAACTGTGTTTATAACAACGTATTATTTTATAGAGGCAGGCTTTTTTAATCAGATTCTTTTTTTTTTTTACATCTTTCCCTCATGACTTCCAGCTGTTTTATGAAAAACAGAATTAAATTGATATATTTTTCCCTTTAAAAGCAGCCGAAACATTTTCCTAATTTCTTATGCTTGCAAAGGCAGCGCTCACAGCTGCAGTTTCAAGCTGGATCACTGCAAAAACACAAAATCTTACAATGTAATTTTAGTTTCTAGTGCAAATATCTTAGTTACGTGGAATAAGATGAAACTAACTCATAAGTAACTTTTAAGCAAGAAACAGGAGATTATTTTAACTGAATAGGTCTTTAATACTGATGAAAAAGTTCTGGTTCTCTGCAGATTATTTTATTTATAACTCGGGAAAAATTCATTTTTATAAGTGAAATAATCTGCCATAACTTTTTCATCAATGTTAAGAGTTATTTACTTAAAATAAACTCCTATATCTTGCTGAAAAGTTATTAAAAGTTAGTTTTGTCTAATTTCAAGTAATTAGCATATTTGTACTAGCAAATAGACAGAAATACTTGATAAGATTTTGTGTTTTTGCAGTGATCTATAAATGCTGTTTATGATTTTTTTAAATAAACTCTGTCAGTTTCTTGTTTCACCGGATTTGAGTTTGAAGTGCTTTGCTTCACTCAGAAATGCGTAATTTAAGCTTAAAAACGTCATTCAGGAAACAGTGTTTATAAGACAAAAACAGCATTTATAAACGAAGCTGCTTATGAACTGAAGATCAAATATAGACAGGAAGAGATGTTTTAATAATGTGAATCCATAGAAAACAAGCTGGTTTTAACCAAGTTTTTACAGAAATGGACCCAAAATCAACTCAAGATTTTTACAGGACCGGTCCACCTTTAAAGAAATCAAGTAAAACATACATATACAAAGCTCTGGAGAACATTAAGAGAAAACATAAGGTTATCATTTTGTCTGATTTTACTCTTTATAGCTGTATGTTTGAGTGAAATGAACGTTGTTCTTTTATTCTACGAACTACCAACATTTCTCCGAGATTAATAACAAAAATATTGTATTCATTTGCAGAAAATGAGGGAAATAAGCAGAGCTTTCAGACCTCAAATAATGCAAAGAAAACAAGTTCATATTCATTTAGAAACAATACTGATGTTTTAACTCAGGAAGAATTCAGAAATCAGTATTTGAAAGAACCAGGAGGTTTTCAGTGCAGTGGGCTCTATATATATATATATATATATATATATATATATATATATATATATATATATATATATATGGTGCTTTTTTATTTTCCCAAATCAAACTAACAAATTAAAAAAAAAGTCATGCAATTTACATATTTTTAAATTGCTGTTGTTGAACACTCACGTTTTACAGTGCACACAAATCCTGAAACAGTTGAATAATACCAATAAAAAACGCACCCATGGGGATTTCTGTATGAATGAAGATGCAACATGGTAGCATTCACACAAAGAGCTGCTGGATTTCTGTCTGTGTTGCTTTAAAGGGCCTCCAAGTGCATTTTCTCCTCATTCTGACGCGTTATTTTTACCCTCAACCCGCTAAAAAAACACAATAATCTGTAACAAACAGGCTTTGAAATGTGGAAGCAAATGGACAGAGAGTCCGCCGAGGAGGACGGGACTGGGAGGAGGGAGGAAGAATGAGTGTTTCCCACATAGAGACGTATCAATGAACGCACCCATTCGACATCAGAGGCCCAGGCATTCTTGCAAAGCGACAAAAATAAATAAATAAAAGAGCAGCACACTCGCCATTCGGATGAATAATTCAGAGCCGCATTTCCCCCCCAACATATGAATGAAATCCACGCAGAAATTCATCATTTTTTCCTCCATATTCTCACATCTCGTTTGTTTTTATTTGATTGTTATTTTTTAATTGTTGCAGTTGTTCTGTCTCCATTCCGCCCCTGCTGCGCGGACTCATTAACACACCCCGATATTATGTTATATGTTTTTATGAATGGGACTGGGCTTCGTGTTCGCACTGCGCCTTCAGACATGCAGCAGAAATAACGGCGATAATCACAAGAATAACAACAGTAGAAGCAACAAGAGTCGGGCCTAAAGGTGGAAACGAGAGAAGGATCCGAAGGAGAAATGAAAAGAGAAGAACGAGTGGGTGAGAGGATGGAGAGAGGAAACGAGAGAGATGGGGGAGGGGGCCGATTAGAAAAGGGAAGAATGAGAGGAGGGGTGAGAATAAGGGAGAGCGAGGGAGAGAGAGAGGGAAAAAAATCACATTTCATTCATAAAGTTTGGCTTTAAAAATCATAATGAAACCCCGAGACACGTTGATAAAAATCACAGCGCCTCCATCCCTCCTTCATCCCACTTTAATGACGCGATGCTGGCCCTTAAACTCCTCTTTTTTCCTCCTCCTTTCTCCCCTTCATGCATTTTACACACTGGCTGATTTCGTGATTGTTTTTAAAGCAAGGCGCAGCAGAATCAGAACCGTTGCATGACTTCGGGTTTGGCTTTTAAAACGCGCTTTTTCTCACTGTGTGTGTGTGTGTGTGTGTGTAGTGAACGAGCGGCGGCTCCCGCATGAATGTGGCCGCACATTTATCACACAGTGGCATGGATGTATCGGATGTGGGGTGTATGCTGTTGATCCAGGACTACGTAATGGTGTTTTTTATTCTCGGCTGCTCGCTGAGCTGCACAGCGCCGACCGCTAACAGCCCAGGATGCTGCCGCTGCTGCTGCTGCTGCTTGTTCCTGTGGAAATGAGGGATGTAAGGAATAAAAATAAGGACTTACTCGCCCTCCATGGCTCGGTGTTGCCCGCCGCTTGCAGCAGCCCACCCCAGGCTCTCCTCTCTCCCTCTTCTTTTTATTCCTCCTTTCAGGAAACACTCAGTCTCGCTTCACATTCTCTCTCCATCTGCTCTCATTTTCCTAATCTTACTCTCTCTCTCGCTCTCTCTCTCTTACTCTCTCCACCTTGATGTCGTTTCGGTGTATCAGGATAGGCTTGAGGTTGCAGCAGCCATTTTCCGCTGGCAGCATCCTCCCTCCCTCCCTCCTTCCCTCCCTCCCTCCTGCCTGCCTGCCTCCTCTTCCTCCCTCTCTTCCTCTCCCTCTACCTGCCCTGTGCCAGCACATCCGCACTAATCATTGACAGCATCTCCGCTCTTGGTGGGCCGCTCACTTTCCCACAGCACACTGTAAATGATCGGAAATGAGAGTCGAGCTGCTTTTATATCTGCTGGTGTCATAAAGCATGAATGACCTCTGGTTGATCCTCCGAAAAAGCGACAGAAGCCCCAGATTTTATTTTAATTAAAAAAAATTATCTATAAATATTTTCGCTTTATTTTATTCTGTTTTTTTTTTATTGCATGTAGGAGGAAAATAACTTCCTGTAAACATTAATGGAGTGAAGGTTTCAGAACCGCGGACAGCGACAGGCGGCGCTCCTTACTGCGCATGCGCAGTAGGAACTTCATTCTACACCGTTAAATAAATTCCTTTTGGACTTTTTCAATGGTTTTATGTAATAAACCAAGATAGTAATTTATAATTGTGAGATGGATAATTAATAAAACATCTGAAATGTGTGGCATGTGTTAATATTCATGAAACATGAATGACCTCTGGTTGATACTCAGAAAAAAACGACACAAACTATATACTTTATTATAAAATTTAAAAATATCTATAAATATTTTTTTTTTATTTTTTTTTAAATGTTTGAAGATTGCATGTAGGAGGAAAATAAACAGTCATTGATGGAGTGAAGATTTCAGCACCGCGGACAGCGACCGGCGGCGCTCCTTACTGATCCTGCGCAGTAGGAACTTCATTCAACACAGATTTATTCCTCCTGAACTTTTTTTGAGCTTGTGTAATTGACTAAAAGAAGGTGATGTCTAATTGTGAATTGGATGAATAATAATAAATCTAAAAAGTGTGGCATGCATTTGTATTCATAAAACATGAATAACCTTTGATTGATTCTCCAAAAATTACCAAAGTTACATATTTTATTACAAAATTTAAAAATATATATAAATATTATTTTTTAATAGCTTAAAATGGTGATTATTTCACCGGTAGGAGGAAAATAACTCTTTCTATACCAATTAATGGAGTGAAGTAATTTTTTTTTAATATATATAAATATATATTTTTGTTTTATCTTTTTAATAGTTTTAAAATAATGATTAATTTGCCTGTAGGAGGAAAATAATTCATATTATTCAAGACCCAGCTCCTCCCACACAACTTCCCCACTCAGCTCCTTCAGACTAGCCATCAGCAATTAGCAAACACCTGGTGGAGCTGAGCTCATTACAGGAAGTACTTCTCAGTGAAACGCTGGTAAAAACATTAATGGGTTAACATAGGAGCCATGTTGTGTTGTCTTCCTGAAGGTGGAGTTTCAGAATGAGTAGGAGTTTTTAAAGAGACAGAAACCCAATTTCAAAGTGTTGAGTCAGGAAGTAACATTTCTGTTAAGTCATATCTGATATACATAACATTTTTATAACAACTCAAGTTAACATAGTAACTTGATTGTGCTATAAAATAGCCCTGTGTCTGGAAAATATACAATAATACCACCCCTTTAGGTGGTTATTTGGTGGAAGAATCAATGTTGATAGAAATGGAGTGAAACTGACTGTCACCGTGAAAACGGTTTGTTTTTGGTGGATTTATGTTTGCTTGAAAGAACAGACTTCTGTCCTTTATCTGTTGTGATATATATATAACCTATTTATTTCTTTATTTTTACATATACATGTTAATTCTTCTGCATTAGATACAGAATAATGTGTAAAGTAAGAAAAGAAAGGTGGTAGGATTAAATAAGTTCATTCTTCTGCCTACCTGCTTCTCAAATGGTTTTCTAAATATATAATCATATTTGAATCATGGATGTGAATATGGTTCAGATAAAGTAAAACTGATGAAATTTGCACCTTCTGCTTATAATTTGTTAAAAACATTTTATGAATCTCCTGCAGGATCTTTTCTGAGTTCAATAAGTTCAATTTCCTTTCAAAGGAAAATTTTGAAAATCAAGCTAGAAATGATAAAACAATAGAGCAAAATAAATTCATAGATAAGTAAAGGATTATTTTCTGAACAATTTATTGCAAACAATTTTGTTATAAACTGTTCAGGGAGGAAGTGACATCACTGGTTAGAAAACAAACTTTAATGGCGTTTCTTTCAGTTGTGGGCACAAAAAAAATTACATTTCTGAAAGTAATGAAGAAAATAAAAAGCTCTGCGCGTTTAATCAAGCTTAAAAAACAAAAAAAGTCCAAGATAAATGTTGAAAATAATCCAGATTAAACTCAGTTTGGTTTGCAGAGACGGACCTGCAGGTCGGCTCTGAGGGAACGGCGGCTCTGGAGTTTGAAGCGGTCCGATACTTCCTGGCGCGGCGGCGTGTTTGTCTCTGCATGGCTGAGTGTTCCCGGGGGCGGATTACACAATCATTTCCAGGTGTCGCGCGTATTCAATGACCTGCTGCGCCAGCTCTGTGGAGGGGATGGTCACCTCCTCCGTCCGCTGCTGCTGGCTGGTGAACGTGTAGTAGCCGTCCCGGTTCTGAGTCCAGCCTCTCTGAGGACAAATGGGACAGAAACCTCATCAGGTCATCGGGTCATTCTCTTCACAGCGTGTGAAAAGACCTTTCTGTCCTCATTAATGTGACATAAATGAGTTACATGTGAAGTTTAAAATGAGGAAAAAATTCAGGTTTTTCCGTAACGTAAAATGTTGGTTTTACCTTCTTGGCGTAGTCTGTCATCTTTTTGGGCGAGTTGAAGAAAAGAACTCTGGTTGCTTCACTGAACTGGATCTGTTCGTAGGCCTTTTCTATACAGCCCGCAATCTCATCACTGCAAGAGAATTAATACATTAACCTCAACAGGGCTGAAGCTGTTAATCGTAATTAATCGATTATTTAAATAATTATCAACCAATTTAGAAAACAAGTAATTATTAATTGGAGTATAGCGACTCAAAAAAAGCCATTTGCTGACAGAACAACACAATCAGAGCTGTGATTAAAACAAAAACTGTACGTAAAATACATTTAAAAGATAAAAAATCTCCTTCGTCTCTAAATATTTTCTAGCCAGAGCTCCTCAGTTTCAGTTTCACCTGGTTAAGATTCTGTAAAAAGCTCCTATTAAACATCTTTTGTAATCCAATTATCAGTCGATTAATCCAAAGATATAATCAATAGATCAGCCCGACACTGTACTGATGTGTTAAACTTTTCACATGTTGATGTTAGAAGTAATTTTTAGCTGCTGATTCATTGTTTTATTACAAAAACATAAAGCGCTCACTAAGGGAATGTTATGTTGTTGCATTTTAGGCAATAAAATGTTAATTTTCTTATTTGTTCTTCTAATATTGTATAAAAAGCTTAAGTGGTCTAATGAAAAATAAAAAATCTGTAGAATGTGTTTTTTTTTTTTAGCAGATTAATCGATTAATTCTCAGAATAATTGATCGCTAAAATAAATACAACCCCTGGCAAAAAGTATGGAATCACCAGTGTTGGATGAGCAGTCATTCTGACATTTCATGCTGTAAAACAAAC